AGAAGAAAGATCGGTATGCGAACATAGCACGCACTGTATAGTGAGATTTATAATCATAAAATCTAGAGGAAAAGATTTTCAAAGCTGAACTCAGTCTGGTTTGAAGCGTCGAGCTGTATAGATAGATCTAACGAGTGAGAAAATCGGAAAAGTGATTCTTCTCTTGGTAAATAAATTGTTTGGTAAAGTTTTTTTGGTAAATATCATCTTGTGAGTTAGTAATAACAATTAGAAATTTTCAACCTATGTATTTATTCATATTTTTTATTAGAACAACGGCAAAACGTTCAAACACGAATGAGTCTCATGACACAAGTAGTAGCGAAGATGAGCTCCAGATAGACGTTTATACAGATATGTTAGAAAGACTAACTGTAGAAGGTTTTCTTCGTTCTTCTATCGTTTTGATAGCAGGGATAGTGATATCGTCCAAGCAACAAGGCGACGAGAGAAAGAGTTCGCATAGATAGCGATTACAATAACAAAACAAAATTATAAAACAAACAATAACAAAATTATGAAAAATAAAATATTGATTTTTTTGCAAATTTCTCGATTTCAGCCAATTCATATAAGTCCAATATCATTATAATATGTTAGTTAGTTCCAAAAGCATACTAAATAATACGAGGTCTTAGCAATAAGACAAGAAAAGTCAAGATTGTAACTCCGATAAGGTGTTAATTATATTAGTAACTGTTCTGCTATTTGTAATGCTTGTGTGGAAATCAGTCGAACACCGTTGTTGTGCGCAGGTATCGAAGGAAAATGCAAAGGTGTTCGACAGCGTGACATTTGCGAAAGCCTGTATGGAACAGATACTGTGGCCTAAGCACTGCGTCATGAACACCTGGGGCGCACAGTTACACAAAGACCTTGTGATCGTCCCTGGATCCGAACAGGTACGTAGAATGAGGAAAGAGAAATCAATATGGTAGAATTTCCTTTATTCGAACGCTATCGTTACATCGAACCTACAGACATTTTTGGGACACCCTGTATAATTCTTTTCCACTTAGAATGCTTATTCGCTTCACTGTGATTTCCGACGAATCTGAATTGTCTCAATTAAGTCTCGATTGATCCTTTAGGTGAAAAAAGGTACGCATCCGGAGAAGGATGCCTATTCAGTATTTGCAGCGACAGATTCCGCAGGCGTCAGCAAGTTGGAGCAGATGCTACGCGAACTCGGCACCACGCAGTTATTCGTTTGCGGCTTGGCGTACGATGTTTGCTTGAAAGAAACATGCCTGGATGGTCTTCGATTGGGATATCCGGTAGCAGTGATCGACGACTGTTGCCGCGGTGTAAACCTGAAAAATATCGATGCTGCGAAACATTTGATCATAGATAACGGCGGCTTGATCGCTATCACCGACAAAATCTTGTCGCTGGTGAACACCGAAGAAAGAAGCCTTATCATGAGCCATCGGTCCGCGAAGAAGATAGCTTCGATTTCGTCCTCCAGAAGCATAATGACGGCGTCTGAATAACAGCGTAGAACTTAGTCAGAAGGAATCGTAGGGCGAGTTTCAAGATAAATCAGAGAATCGGCGCACAGTGATCTCTATTCGTCAGAATTTGAACGCAATTTCTGGCTCATTCGAAACGCCGTAAGTTACCAGAATTTATCCGAGAAAGTATGTTTAAACGGCGTTGTTTACTTAAAATCATATTGTAATTCGGAATGTTTAGCTAACGAAGATATGAATTTTTGCGTGTGTGTAAAAATTGAGCACTGTGCCGCTGTGTTCGAATTAGTTACGTGGTGGCTAATAGATGCTAAATAGAGATAATAGGAGAACCAGGTCAGGTAGTAGGTGGTGAAGATAAATGGTAATTTACAAAGATATAATACGTCGTACGGTTACTTATTTCTTATTTTTCTAAGCTTAAAGAATAGACGAGGTAAGGAATAAAAGTATATAAATATCGTGATCGATATACTTTCCAATAAATGTACGAAGCTTACGGTATGGTTTTCCGGATACACGAGTAAAAAAACTAGGTAAAGAACAAAGATGTATTATGTCGAACGGGTACTTATTTTTTTTCTAAGCTTAAAGAATAGACGAGGTAAGAAATAAAAGTATACAAATATCGTGATCGATATACTTTCCAACAAATGTACAAAGCTTGCGATATGGTTTTCCGGACACACGAGTAAAAAAATTAGATGAAAAAGAACAAAGATATATTACGTCGAACGGGTACTTATATTTTCCTAAGTTTAAGGAGTAGACGAGGTAAGAAATCGAAATACATACAAATATCGTGATCGATATATTTCTCTACACTATAAATGTACAAAGCTTACAGTATGGTTTTACGAACACACGAGTGAAAAACTAGAAAAGTGTTCAGAGGTTTATACAAAATGTGGGTCATTCCTGAGGTGCTGAAAGTCCAGTTGAACTTATTCTACATATGTTTCCTATTCTCAGTATTTTCAAAGTATTTTTAAAATCTGTTATTTATTAATTAGATATATATTTACGCCAGTATCACTGCGTCGTTATTTACATGAAATATTTATCCACGATTTATACTTGCTTATCATCTATTGTCAGAGATAAATCAAGGACTCGTGGTGATCATCCTCGAGTACTTGTGAAGTTCGTAAGTTATTGCTTCGACCATTTTGATTGGTGTGTATTTAATTGTTTATTAATAAATAACCTTTCAAATATGTAGCACGCGGTTCTTTACCACATGAAACTTTCAACAGGTAATAAATACGAAGGTAATAAATGAGCCGTTTATTTTGAAAGTGGCATAAGTGACTTTTTCAAAAAGATCGAGTTAATGGTCACACTAATTACAATTGAACGGTATCTTTTCATTTTTAAAAAATTTGCAATCAATAAGTTGAGGACTATTGAGATTTGTTCGAGAGAAGTTTTGCTAATTAATGGTATAACAAAGATGTTTATTTTGAAAGTGGCATAAGTCGCTGTACTCGGGAAATTAATTGCGAGGCTTAGTGTAAAAGAAATAGAAACGTGTGATAAGTGTGTGTGAAGTATTGTTTTGAATTATTTTCAGTATTTTTAAAAAACTTGTGATCACTGGACTTATTTTGATAAGTGCGAAAGAGAATAGTGCAGTTTTGTAAATTATATTATAGTGATGTGGCGGCTACACCTCCAGACCCGCCAGCAGATGGCAATAAAATGTTTTATAAACTAACTTTGGATGAAAATGATGAATTTCTAACTTTGGATTTGTCACCAAAAAGAGGAAGACCTAGGCGTTATTCACAAATAGTAATGGATCCGTTATACGCTGAATCTCGTCCTGTTTTTTCAGCAAAATACAAAGACACGATGGACTTGCTTAATTATATACCCCCAATATAACACAGTTATTTAAAAAATTTGAAACAAAACACGATTTCCGAGGAC